TATTTTTTTAAATAATGCTATTGCATATAAATTATGTATTTAACATACCAACATTCATGATATTGACGTGCCTGATTTATGTTTATTTGATTGATTCAGTTTATTTTTTATTTTTTAATAAATGAAAATTGGAAAATTAGGCGTTGGCTTGGATCAATACGCGTGGATTGGGGACAAGTCGGCCGCAGCACCGCGAAGACGACACTACTGACAGGCTGACGCCGACAGCAACCATTTGTTTATTTAAAAAAATGACAAAGAGGTGTCGACTAAATTAATTAATCAAGTCTCAAATTTTAAATTTTAAAAATTTATAAATTCAGTTTTTAATTTTATAATTTTGTTATGATAAATTTAAAATTTATATTTTATAAAGATAAATTGATAAATTTCTTTCTTTTTCAAACAACATTAAAAACTTATTTCTTTCATTAAAAATGTAATGTATTTTTAACTAAATCTCACTCTCAATAAAGTAGTTATCTACTTTCAAACTAATCTTATCTTTTTATATTTACTCTCATTAACCACCCTACAATAATTATAAAGTTATTATCAATAGAAGCACTTAAAAAAAAAAGAAATGATTACACCTCTAAAAATTAAAAATACTTTATATTTTTTAATATCTAACTCCTCAAAAATATCTTATATTTTTAAATAAAGAGAGTAACTATTTCTTACTGATTTTGATGGAGTAGTTGGTAATGATTTATATATAATACTAGTATACTAGAGGAGGGAATGTATATAGTATATAGTAGTGTTATATTTTAGTTTATACAAGGTAAATTTTTAGAACAAGTTTTGGAAATAAGGAAAAAAATTTGTTTAAATTATTAATTAAAAATATATCTAATGTAGTGAAATACAAAAGTAAAAGAATCATTTACTTTATTAACTTAATTGCCATCATTAATAAAAATATGATGTTTTATACTTTTTGTCTAATTTTATAGAACAAACAGTAACGAAAACATGAAAACGATGTTCTATTTTTTAAGTTTTTCATAGAGATATTTAAATTTTTACAACACGTACCCAAAAAACTATTTGTTAAATATATTTTTTTATTTTTATTTTTGAAAATGGGTTTTGAAAATAGAAAATCAAACAGGCTAAAATTGTCAACATTGATTAATTTCTCTGTGAAAAAATATAAGGCATTTTTAATTAAATTTTACCCATATAAAGTAGTTACTTGTCTTCAAACTAATCATATTATTTTATATTTATTCTTATTTAATAAGGTGTTTCACCTTAAAAAAATTTAAAGTGATTTATTCAACATGAATACTTAAAAAAAGGTAATAATTATATCTTAAAAGACTAAAAATGACTTAGATTTTTTAATATTCAATCCCTCAAAAAAATATCTTACATTTTTTAATAGAAATAGTATTTACTTTTATTTATGCATGCACATATTTATCCCCATTTAACAAAGTGAGACTATTAAAATAAAATATAAAAATTCATACAAAAATCTAAATGGATCGGATTTTCTTAAATTATCTAGTTTTAAAAATATTTGAATAGTTTTTTCTAAGATTCAAGTGCTTACTTTCAAGATATGGACTTGGGAGAATGTTTCTAGTGCGTTGTTATTTTCATCAAAATCACGTTTGATTCTATTTCAAATTGATTGGTATCTTTGACTATGAATTAATAAAAGAAAAACTAGTTAAAATAAATCCAGTCCATTAGGATCAAATTTTGTTTGGCCTTATCGTGTCTCTCAATACAATTTTCAACCACCCACATGAAAATTTAATAGCAAAAATTAATTCATGCCTTTAAAAACTATAAATTTAAATAATTAAATTCAATCATGTATTAATATACAATCATGACGGTTTTTTCACGAAATAAGATAAGAAGCCATTTCCAACTAAGGGACGGCTCTTACCCAAATTCAAATTGTATCTATCACGATGTGATTTTTTTTTAATAAAAGGCCATGAAAAAATTCATGCAAAATGGAGACAAATTAAGTTATGTTAGAGTACAAAAAATTCCTACATCCATTGGGTGAAAAATCAAAGATCCTGGTGTTTAAATTATAAGTGAAACTGATGTGTGAGCCAATCAATACATTTATTCACTTCTTTAAATATGTGATCAAATGTGATTATTTAATCTTTTGCGACAAATCCCCTGATTTTCTTGATAATTTTAATGAGGGGATGGTTGTATGAGAATTCATGTTGGATGAGTGTAAGAGTTTCGAAAGAGTAAGAATAAATGCTAATTTTATCAAACTTACTATTCCAATAGATTTTGATTCTTTCAAGAATACCTACTAGTTCTGCAACAATAATGAAGTGGTAGTCAAGATATTTTAAAAAATCTTTAATTCAATTTTCCTGGTTGTCTTTGGTGAGGTCACTGCAAGTAGCGGCACCATAATTGTTAACTGAGTTGTTGATATCGAGTCTTTCCTAGCCTGCTTCAAGGGGCACCATCTGGCTTCAACTCTTTTGTCTTGCAATAACATGTGATTGAGCCTAGATTGAAGCTTCAGACCATTTATTATATCTTGAATGGATGTAAAAGCAATATCTTTGTTAGCAATGTATTCTTCTAAGTATACATATTTGCATTTTTCTTTTCAAATATTCTAGAAAGATTTTCTAATCATTAATAGGATTTTGTTAATCAACAATATACTCTCTCTGCTAAGGTACCTTCTAAAAAGATTTTCTGATAATTAATGTAAGATATGTTAAGAGTTATTTATTACCATTTTTAATTTTACTTTAATTATAAATTCAATTTCAAGATTCATTGTATATTGTTTATTTCTTTTTTCTATTTTTAGTTGATGCAAAGTTTGAATTTTTTCATTTTAAAACATATTTAATGAGTTATTATACAAAATACATATTTAATAAATTAACTATTATTCTAATAAAAGTTGAAAGCATTTTATAATAAGGATAAGTGGTTGATGAGAGAGAATTTTTTTTTTTTACTTTTGTTTTAATATCCAAATTTTTAAGTCAAACTCAAGACCTTTAATAAAATCAACTGAATTATTATGCATAGTAACAAGACTTATTCTAGTCTCATTTTTTTGAGTCAATTTATTTATTTTTATTTTTTATTAAAAAATATGACCTTTCAAGATTCGTAAAAAGTGGGGGAAGGCAGCTTTCAAGAGACAAAGAAACAAAGAAACATAACTCCAATATATCACGTCTCGTCCTCGTATCGCAACCATGAAGCTTGCTCGTCTATCACGTGATACAATTAAAGTGCGAGTCTTGATGGTCACAAATATCGATGGCACGCACCGTAATATTCTTCAATATAAAGGGCTAAACATTCTGACATCCTTTACCATACTCTTTGTCGTTTCTCACGGGATCCATTCCCTCCTCCTTCCACGCTTCTCATCCCTCCGATCTATCACCACACCGTCTTTTTTGACTAAATATATAAATCCAACGGTAGTTAATAAAGGAAATTCTTGTCACGTTGAAAAAAATAAAAAAATAATTTTTTATTACATCTCTCGGTATTTTAAAAAATTTGCGGCACTATCTAATGCAATTCAAACCTTTCTTCTGAGACTATTATTACTAAACGCGGCTGCCTTCGGAGTGATGTTTTTGACATTTTCATTTTATTTAATAAATTTATATATCTTATAATTCAAACTTAAAATTCTAATAAATAGATTCGGCTCTTTTAACCCATCAAACTAATCACTCCTTGATAATGAGGACAAAATTTTTGTTAATTAGTGTGTCACATAACTTTCAATCTTTTGGCAAGATCTGCCACGCCCTTATTGCTAATCCTAAATAATTAAGGAGGACAGAAATAGTACTCACTTCATATTTTTTTATTTTTTTTATTTAAAAATATAAGATATTTTTAATTAAATCTTACCCACACTAAAATAGTTATTTATTTTTAAACCAACACCATCTTTTTATATTTATTGCTATTTAATATGATATTTTATTCTAAAATAAATATAAAATTATTTATTCATTAGGGGTACTTTTTTAAAAAGATAATGATTATATTTTAAAATATTAAAAATACCTTATATTTTTAAATATATACCCCTTCTGGTCCTATTTATAAGTCATTTCTACCAACTTCATCAATATCAATACAATAAAAGTACAAGGAATAAAAATAAGTAAAATTTCAAACATACCTCTATATAACACATCTAAAAAGTAATGTCCCGGTACTTTTTCTCTCTCATAAAGGGTAATTTTAAAAATATTTTTTAAATATTATCTAAAAAGACGCACCATGACTTATAAATGGGATCAAATAGACCTTCTAAAATGGGACTTATAAATGGGATCGAAGAGAGTAATTTTTTAAAAAATATTTTATATTTTTAAACAGAGAAAGTATTATATATTTTTAGGAGTGGTTTGATATTTCAAAATATAAGATTTTTTTTAAATTTTTTACTAATAATAATTGTTTTAATATTATCTCATTATTTCACTCCTCAGACTGACCTCTTGAAATTCTAATCCTTCTATCCTTAAAAAATATTTCTTTTCTGTTATAAAAATGTTTTACTGAATGTGCAAAACTGATGTAAGAGTACTTATTTATTTCTTTCGTAAATACTGATCTTGTTGCGACAAATTCTAGATTAGATTTAGGGAAGATATTTTAGACATTTAATATGTAAATTTATTATTATTAAATTTTGTATTGAAGATCTAATAAAATCAAATAACAGAGCAGTAATAGTCAAGTACAGTCCCAAGTTTTACTCCAAGCTGAAGGACAGCTGTCAGCGCGAGATTCCGAGCCGACTCATGTAGACAAATTGAAGCCGGCTTCGTGGGCCCCGCAAATAACCTCACGTATAATATAGGTCACTGCAAATATCTAATAGCTTATCATCATAGCGGAACCTTTCAGTGATAAGTATGTGAACTTACCATCTCGCAAATCTGCTGCCTCCTATATAAAAAGCACATATCTGCAAGTTCAAGTGTCCTGTATATATTTCTAGAGAGAGAGAGGGAGTTTTTCTGAGGAGCGAGAAAGCGAGTATAATAGTCCATTCAGGAGAGAGAAAATTAAGGAGGGAGAAAGCTCGCTCCTCTGGCCTCTGCTCTGTTCTGGTGCGTTTGTTTTCTGGCTTTGAAGGCGATAGACGTGAGAACTTCCTCAGGAATCACTGTAATTTCCGAATCTGTTGCTTTAGAGTCGACAGGCTTTTCCATGTGATTTTATTTTGTTTTCGCCATTCTTTTTATTTCTCTCTCTTTTTAAAGCTTTTTCCTCTCTTGCATCCTGGATTCCTTATAGATTAAAGCTACTTTCTCGTCCTCTTTGATCGTCTGAGACAGAGTCAACTCGTTTTTCACTTTTCCTTCCTTGTCTGATTTTTAGATAAATTTATAATTCTGGTAGTTTTCTTTAAATGCTGGGCGTTCTAGTAAATGATTTCATTCATGTTTTGGATTCGAATTGTTAATCCTTTCATCTGATTTGCACCCTTGTTCAATTTCTCTAACTTTTTTTTTCATGTAAGGTTTGCAGATCTAGTTTGCTATTGCCCATCCTTGCACCTTTCTTTCTAATCGAAGCTGGGGCGGATACGATGTCGTCTCTCAGTAGAGAATTGGTGTTCTTGATTTTACAGTTTCTGGATGAGGAAAAGTTCAAAGAGACTGTTCACAAGTGGGGCTTATGCCATTTAAGTTTGTCATTTGTTATTTATGGTTATTTTTAATATTTATTTATTTTACCACATTAATAACTTTTTTCCTCTTTTCATGTAATAATAGGCTTGAACAAGAGTCTGGGTTTTTCTTTAACATGAAATATTTCGAGGATGAAGTGCACAATGGCAATTGGGATGAGGTTGAAAGATACCTCTCTGGTTTCACAAAAGTTGATGATAATCGGTATTCAATGAAGATATTCTTCGAGATTCGGAAGCAGAAATACCTTGAGGCGTTAGATAAGTAAGCTTATAAGTCCACTTCAGACTTGGTTGACAATTAATGCTCGAAAATTAGACCTGAATTTGAACTGTTCAAATTTTCTTAGGCACGACAGGTCCAAGGCTGTAGAAATATTAGTGAAGGATTTAAAAGTTTTTTCAACATTCAATGAAGACCTATTCAAGGAAATCACACAGCTCTTGACATTGGAGAATTTCAGGTATATATGCAAGTATACTTCGTTCCAGTTTTAAGGTAAAACTTCTGTAGACAGAAAATGAATTTCTCATGCTGCAGGGAAAATGAACAATTGTCAAAGTACGGTGATACAAAGTCTGCAAGGGCAATCATGTTGATTGAACTTAAAAAGCTGATTGAAGCGAATCCCTTATTCCGTGACAAGTTGCAGTTCCCCAACCTTAAAAATTCAAGATTACGAACTCTCATCAATCAAAGGTAAATTATTTGAAAATCCGAAATCCAACATACCATAACACTTGATTTAAAAGTTGTGCACTATATGTGAAATAGCTTGTCAGTACATCCTGGCAACAAGATTGTTTTTGGCATCTTTGCCAATTTCAGAATTCTGAGCGCATGGGTGTACACATGCAGTATGTAGTCTAGCCATTGCACTCTTATTTAAATAGAATCTATCTCCTGTACAATGTAATGTAGTATATGGTTGAGAAGTGAGTTCTTTACCAGGAAGTGTTATAAATTGGCGTGAAAGTGGAGCTACTGTTTATGCTTTTGCATTGAATATCTTTTTCTAAGTCCTTTCTTACTTTCTAATATTTTGTAATTACAGCTTGAATTGGCAACATCAACTCTGTAAGAATCCAAGGCCAAATCCAGATATTAAAACTCTTTTTGTGGATCACTCATGTGGACAGCCAAATGGTGCACGGGCTCCATCACCTGTTAATAATCCACTACTTGGATCCTTACCAAAGGCTGGAGGGTTTCCTCCTCTAGGTGCACATGGGGTAGGCTACTAACCCATTATTTACATTCCTCTGGTTTTGTAAGCACTGCATGATTCTTCTTTGTTTTCATTTTGATCTTTACTCTGGTGCTGACAATCGTGTTGGGCTTAATTGGTGTATAGCCATTTCAACCTACAACAGCACCTGTGCCAACACCCCTGGCAGGTTGGATGTCAAATCCTACCACTGTAGCTCATCCTGCGGTTTCTGGTGGAGGAGCTATAGGTCTTGGTGCTCCTTCAATCTCTGGTAATAAGTTGTTTTGCTTCCTGTTATCTCCTAGTCCTATGGTGGTGCTTGCTTATTGAATGCTATATTGACTTTGATCTGTGAACCTGAACATGCTTTATTGTCTTCTTAAGCTGCTTTGAGGCACCCTAGGACCCCTCCAACTAACCCATCTGTTGACTACCCATCTGGAGATTCTGACCACGTATCTAAGAGACCAAGGCCAATGGGAATGCCTGATGAGGTAATTTGGTATCAATTATTTACACATTTGTCTTGTAATTCTTGGCATTTATTAGTGGATAAGTTATTGTCCTCTTCCCTAAGAGGTGCCCAATTTATACGAATCTCATTTCTGTTTTTAAAATATTCACTTATTTCCTTGAAGCCAAAAGATCACTGAAATAACCTCAGGAATAACTTTTTTTTTTTTAATTTTGAAAAATTGTAACCTGGTATTTTATTTTATGTCAAAAATCAGAAGTTTAATTTTTGATAAAAATTTGCTATATCATTGCTTATCTTTATTAATGTAGATTTGATACTAATGTTGTTCTTGCAATTCAATTACTTATCACTTAATTACTTAATCTTAAGATATAACATTTTGGATATTTCCTTTTTTAATAATATATACATGTTTATATGATTTTATCAAATGTTTATAAAATTTTATCGTTTGATACATGTAAAATTTTCTGTATTTTATATTAGTCCAATATAATTTAACACTTACTATATTATAGGGTAGTTATCAGGGTATGTTGGTCAGTATAGATCTATTTGTAGGTTATTCTTTTTTCACCAGAGAGGACTTTACATTTTTAAAAACTTACATGAGATTAATTTACATTTAATATTTTATCAATTGGTTATAAGAAAGTTTTGACCCCTCACATTTATACTATCAATGTTCAATCATTTTGTGCAGGTGAATCTACCTGTTAATGTGTTGCCAGCTGCATTACCAGGTCATGGGCATATCCAAGCTTTTAGTGCACCTGATGACTTACCAAAGACTGTTATACGAACTCTGAATCAGGGTTCATCTCCTATGAGCATGGACTTTCATCCAGTTCAGCTGAGTTTACTTCTTGGTCTGCTTCTATTCTAAAGCCTCTAGATAGTTTCATCAACGCACTTCATAGTTACATGTATTTGCTGCTCATACTGGCGATTGAATATAAACTTTTTATTTTTGCAATGTGTCAGTTGGTACTAATGTGGGAGACATTGCTTTGTGGGAAGTGGGCTCTCGAGAGAGATTGGTCCTAAAGAACTTTAAAGTTTGGGAGCTAAGTGCCTGTTCAATGCCACTTCAGGTTGTCTCCTTGTTCATTGATGCCCTTGATGCATATATGCACCGAACACCTAGATTGGTAATCTTGCAATTACTCAATTGAAATCTAATCATGATTAAAATCAGGCTGCTCTTGTCAAAGATCCTAGTGTTTCTGTCAACCGTGTGATTTGGAGTCCTGATGGTGCTTTATTTGGTAAGTGGAGTGTCTTTGGATACTTCAATGTTTGATTTAATGATATTATTAATATGCAGCTTTGAAGATCGACTTGACCCATTGCTAGTGTCTCTGCTTATTTAATTAACAGGAGTTGCTTACTCAAGGCATATTGTTCAGATATACTCATACCATGGTGGGGATGATGCCCGCCAACACCTGGAGGTAGATTCTGGAGAATGTTTTCTCTCATCTTGCTTTCTGTTTTATTGATGCCCATTTGTTATGTGATTCTTCAATTGTAAGCCTCTTATGTAGATTGATGCCCATGTCGGAGGAGTGAATGATCTGGCATTTTCACACCCAAACAAGCAATTATGTGTCATAACTTGTGGCGATGATAAGACCATCAAGGTAAGTTTGTGTTTGTCCAAAATGAGTTTGGTTTTCCTAAACGGAGAAGTTGGTGGATTTTTATAACCATGTATTTGAATTTAAGGTTTGGGATGCTGCTACTGGGGCAAAACAATTTACTTTTGAAGGTCACGAGGCTCCAGTCTATTCAGTCTGTCCTCATTACAAAGAAAACATTCAGGTTGAAAATTAGCCTTGGAACCTTTCCTGAGCATTTTTAGTTGAGCTAATATGATTCCTTTAGCTATCCCATTTTTCCCAGTTGGTTTATTTTTCTGAAGATCTATGCTTTGATGGTGCAGTTTATATTTTCAACAGCATTAGATGGAAAGATAAAAGCATGGTTGTATGACAATTTGGGTTCTCGTGTTGATTATGATGCTCCTGGTCGTTGGTGCACAACCATGGCTTACAGTGCTGATGGTACAAGGTTTAGATTCTAAACCATAGCTACTCGTTTTGTGCTGTGTCTGGCTTTCTGGTTAAGTTATAATGTCAGTTTCATTACTTGTGTGAAAAGTGCTTCTGGTTAATGCATATTCTAGGCTCTTTTCATGTGGCACAAGCAAAGAAGGAGAATCCTCAATCGTTGAATGGAATGAAAGTGAAGGAGCTGTCAAAAGAACATATCAAGGATTTCGTAAACGATCATTGGGCGTTGTACAATTTGATACAACAAAAAATCAATTTTTGGCTGCTGGTGATGAATTCTTAATTAAATTCTGGGATATGGACAACGTTCAACTTTTGACAACTGTTGATGCTGATGGAGGTCTACCTGTAGGTTCCTTCTGTTTTTGCAAATTGGAAAATTTGCTTTCTAGAAATAGTGTTAAGATGTTGTTGCCTTCTTGATTTCTAGGCAAGCCCGCGTATCCGTTTCAACAAGGATGGAACCCTCTTAGCTGTTTCTGCAAATGAGAATGGAATTAAAATTTTAGCCAATGCAGATGGTATAAGATTGTTACGAACATTAGAGAATTCTGCATATGAGGCATCGAGACCATCTGAAGCCATAAAGGTAAGCTTGTAGACGTCGAAGTTTCCTCCTCCCTTATAAAACCTGGATTAACATGCAATGTTCTGTGGCAGCCCACAATAAATCCAATTTCAGCGGCTGCTGCTGCTGCTGCAAGTAGTGCTGCACTTGCAGAGAGGGGCTCATCTATAGTATCTATTTCGGGAATGGTCTGTCATTCTTGTCCTCATATCAATAGGACTTGTCATTTAGTTGTTGCTTTTTCTTAACGCTAAGATGCAACACTTGTTTCGTTTTTTAGCTCATTAATACATTCTTTTCTAATCCTTTCCCTAAAAAAGAGGATGATCTTTTTAATTTTATCATATAGTTGTTATTAATAACTGCAAGTGAATCTTATTTCGCCAGAATGGGGATGCTCGGAATATGGGTGATGTTAAACCTAGAATAGCTGAAGAATCCAATGACAAGTCAAAGATATGGAAGCTCACTGAAATCAATGAACCAGCTCAATGTAGATCCTTGAAGCTACCTGAGAATCTGAGATTAACGAAGGTATTTCAACGGCTTAGCATTTGTATTCAGTTTTGGACCTTCAAATTTTTAATCAAATCTATTACCTTTCACAATAGCATTTCAAGTAGCAGTCTTACAGATATTTTTCTTTTCCGGCCCTAAATGCTAGTCTGTCAAAAAGAAATTTTTGAAGGCAACAAAACTCCATGTTGCTATTTGAATTACTGCTTAAGACAGCATGTATCTTGGCATTAGTACATGAAAAACAAAACCAAAAAAAAAAAATATATATATATATATATATCAGATTAAATGCTGCCGTTCCTGGCCTGCTTTGTTCTTATTTTTACTATCTTCATTTATGCTAACTTCCCCAAGTGGATACTGTATCAATCCTTCCTTGAACTTCCTTCTTATAATGTTTCTCAGCCCTCTTCAAAAATCAAATTGTTCTGATTCTCTTGCTCTAACAGATATCAAGGTTGATATATACAAATTCAGGTAATGCAATACTGGCATTAACATCAGATGCAATTCATGTGCTCTGGAAATGGCAGCGAAGTGATCGAAATTCTTCTGGCAAGGTGAGAATTTGTTAAGGCGCTTCTGTTGGATTCCTTTACTCAAAATTTGGAATGACAATGATATTGGTTCTGCATTTTGGTCCTTCATCCCGTAGGCCACTGCCAGTGTCGCACCACACTTTTGGCAACCATCAAGCGGCATCCTGATGACCAATGACATTTCCGACAGCAATCCTGAGGATGCTGTGCCTTGCTTTGCTCTCTCCAAAAATGATTCTTACGTGATGTCAGCATCAGGAGGGAAAATTTCACTGTTCAATATGATGACTTTCAAGGTGACTTGTGGTCCCTCTTTGCTTATGTCTATTATTCAGGGTTGCAATTAACCAACCTTAATGTTGGCCATGCAGACAATGACAACTTTCATGCCTCCACCACCTGCAGCAACCTTTCTTGCTTTCCACCCTCAGGATAACAATATTATAGCTATTGGGATGGATGATTCCACCATTCAGATATATAACGTCCGTGTGGATGAGGTAGCGATGCTGTCTGTTTAAGAGTTTGCTTTCTCATGTATGATATAAAATATTTGCGGCTTATGCTGAGTTCTTTGTGCAGGTCAAAAGTAAACTCAAAGGTCACACCAAAAGAATAACTGGCCTTGCTTTTTCCCATGCATTGAATGTGTTAGTTTCATCTGGGGCAGATGCTCAGGTTATTGTTATTATTGCTTTTGTTGATCTGTCTTCAGAATCATGATTTTCTATGGTTAAATTGGTATTTTCTGAGTTCACACGCGTGTGCACACACAAAAGATGGTATTTCCTGGAACTTCTGATACTGTGTCTTTTAACTGAGCTTTCATGAAGCATTGATCACTTTTCAGCAAGCCATGAAATATGTCCTTATAAATTCGAATCAATTGTTCAGCTTTGTGTGTGGAGTACTGATGGATGGGAAAAGCAGAAGAGTATAGTCTTGAAGATTCCTGCAGGGAGGACTCCAACAGCACAGGCAGAAACCCGTGTACAGTTTCACCAAGATCAGATACACTTCTTGGTTGTACATGAAACTCAGCTTGCCATATATGAAACAACAAAACTAGAATGTCAAAAGCAGGTAAATTTAATAAGTTCAATGTGTTGTGCTTGTTTGATCTTGTCCTCTGCCTTCATCTCATATAAAGTGCTTGAACTGCAGTGGTTTCCAAGAGAGTCTATTGCACCCATATCAGCCGCAACTTTCTCATGTGATAGCCAGCTGATTTATGCCAGCTTTTTAGATGCAACAGTTTATGTCTTCAGTGCATCAAACCTCAGATTTTGTTGTCGAATCAATCCTTCTGCTTATCTTTCTGCCAGTGTCAGGTAATGCCATTTTCTTCTAGTCAGTTTTTCTCACTAGGCATGATACTTGTACCAGGATATCGATGGTCAGTTGTCTCCATTTCTGTTTTTAGGAAGTAATGGACTTGTTCCAAGAATTACTGAATAGAAATGATAATTTCGTTTGAAATCTGTCAAATCCAAAGTCGGTAGTCCTTCACCTCTGTGTAATCTTCTGCCTCATGAAATCAGTTACTTTTGGGATAAAGCTGGGCACATGTTGTATTTGTTGGGCACAAATATCCTTTGGAAGATTCAAGGCTCACAAATTTTCACATTGGAGGAATTTTCTATTTGTGCTTTAAGGTAATGTACATGCAGAAACAACTGCCTGTATTTGTCGAAGAGTATTCCTGTGAATTTAGGCCATAAGCTGAATGCGCCATCTGACGGAAATCCTATAAAGACCTACTTTAGGAGGAGGAAATAATAATATTTTCTCAAGGTTAGGATTAGGAATTAATATTTGTTTTACTTCAAACAACATTAGTTGTCAGCTTAATTATTTTAGTTAATATTAGGATTTAATTTTATTTCTTGTTTAAATTATTAGGAGTCATTTGATGGACGGGTTCTGTATAGAGCTCTTAGCAGTTTTATTAAAGTTAAGTTTGCTTTAATTTGATAATGAAGTTTTCAGGTACAAGTTCCTTTCTCCCCCTTCTGCATCTTTCTTCTCTCTCCCCCTCTATTCCCCTTAATTCCTTGCAACTGTCCTACTCTGCCATCTCTTTATATTTCTGTCTAACATGAGAGGAAGTCAATCCAGAGTAATTATAGCTATTTTATTTTAATCAAGTTTGTTCTCAAATTACAACTCATTTTTTTTCTTAATTTGATTATCTTTTATGAAATTATTGAAAGAGATCTTTTGGTTAACAATATTTTCAGAGATTTAGTTGTTGATATAGCACAATAACATCGTGCAATTCATATAGTTGATTTCACCTAACGGGATAAGGCTTGTTATTGATTATCTTTTATGAAGTGCTTATCATTGAACCCTAACCCTGGTTCATATGCCAGCAGTCCCAGTGTACAACCACTTGTCGTGGCAGCACATCCACAAGAACCAAATCAGTTTGCTTTAGGACTGTCAGATGGTGCAGTTCATGTGTTTGAGCCACTTGAGTCTGAAGGCAAGTGGGGTTTGTCTCCTCCCATTGAGAATGGATCAGCAAGCAATGCAGCAGCTACTTCAGTAGGAGTTTCTTCAGATCAAGCCCAGAGATGATCCGTTTGAGCCTAAGACAAGTTTCTTCTGCATGCTTGGCTTGCTGGCTGGCTATTCCAACAACTTGGTACATAACCTTAGTTCATGCTTAATCCAACCACTTTCTAGATCCACTTCATTTTCCGGGCTATTCATAATCACATTACCATGCTTTCAAGTTCAATCAAATGCTGCAGATTGGGTGAATTCTTTTGGCTATCTTCAAAATTTTGGCCGTCTAGATCCCAAATTCCTTGCCTCATGCAGTCTGCAGATAACTTGCTAAGCTAGTCCTATTCCTCCTAGTCTCCTTGTCATTTATGAATATAGTAAAGTATTTATATTGTGCTGTTTGTAATTTTATGTACTGAAGAATGAGTAACAAAAATGTGGATTTTGACAAGGTGGTATAGGATTTGTCTAGGTCAGCAAGTCATCTGCTTTAGGAGACCCCGTTAGTATAGTTTCTTAAAGCTTCACTGGTGTATTTACCCTGTTATGTCTTATATAAAATGCTGATTACTCGTCCTGTTTAATTTAATTTTTTTCCATGTTATTATAAACCAATAATACTCCCTGAACTGTTGGCCGAAAAAGACATTTTGAAACGGAAGTATAAGCATTTTTTCGGAGGTTATATTTTTTAATTTTAATATATAAGGTATTTTATGGAATTTCATGTGCAATTGATATCTTTTTAGGTGCCCCTAGAAGTATATTAAAATTACTTGCGTCCTACTAAAAAGATGCAAATGTGGAAAATACTTGGGATCCGAGCTACTTTGGTGCTTCTCTTGATGGGTGCGCATGAGGTAAAAAAGCCTTGTATATTTAAAACGGAACGAGTACAAATTTGATTGCTTCAAAATTCCAATATTTATCATGTATAGTCGTTATCCACCATTGATATGTAGCATGAATAAGTTAAAGGAAAACATAACTGTTGGTGTATGTACTTTTAGCCTATTTGGGGTATTAATTTCTGTAAAAAATTTTATTGCTCAAGGTCCTTAACTTTTATCAGCTTGCAACATTAGTATTTATTATTATCGACAAAATTAAACCTAATGATGTGTACATGCTTTTGTTAATTTTATTGCTGAATTGGTAAAATTATGATGTATTAGACATTGTATAAGCAAAATGACTGCTAACTTGTTTGTCTGTTTGTCCTAATTGTCATGTCTTTTCTTTTCTTTTTCTTTTTTTTTGAAGCTTCATCCATTGTACATTTAAGGATTCTAATTTAATGTCCTGTTTTTTTTTTTGGGTCAAATGCTTATTTTTTATACAACTTAACATAATTTTAGCGATTCATCATATACGTTTATTGGCCACCATTAAATTCTTGTGATCATATGTAAAAATATAAAAACTAACGTTGTAAGCATATAAAGTTTAACAGACTTAGAGCAATAAAAAAAATTATAAAAACTAATATCAAAATATGCTAAAAATATAGGAACAAAGGATTATTTTTTCTCACAAGTAAACTCGCTTCTTGGGGGGATGGGCAACAGAAGTTGGCTCAATTGACACTGGAACTGACGTAATAAGGATGTCAAAGAGCTCAAGAAAATTGCGAGCCAAAACAAGCTACACAGGTTTGAACAATATTAGCAAATCCATTCCACCCCTTCATATCGTGTCGTCCAAGAAGACCTTGTTGATCTGCCTCTGGTGTTGTCAGCAACCTCAAGTTCATTAATTTAAGTTTTTTTTTTTAAAAAAAACATGGAAGGAACTAGCCCAGAAAGGGATAAAAAGGTCAAGAATCTATGACTGTTTGCTCGTAATACAGAGCATAACGAAGTAAATCTATGAAGTGATCGGACGGTTAGCCATGAGTATATGTTAAGTTATTTAAGTGTGAGTGAATTTGAGTTGATATAGGAAGACTTACATAAATAAAGTTGAATTTAATAACTAATATACAATAAAGAGAAATGATTTACAAACTTGAGTTTTCAACTCTTGAATTAAGATATGGTGTCATCTGTTATCAATTTCTCTAAAATCTCTATGTGGACAAGAATAGTGAAAGAACATTGCTTCTTAATTCAAAACCTTAAGTCGTTTCTCTTTCATTTATGTTAGTTATTAAATTTAACTTTATTCAATGTGAGCCTTTCTACATCAGTTCAAGTTTACTCATAATTGGACAACTTAACAATCTGCTCCCCAAGTGTAAAATCCGTTCTTACTCCCCACACTTGAGTAAGAATGACTTTCATCTAAACTCACCAAATTGCAAAACTAATATTGTTAGCAAACTTTTGAATGTCAAACTTTGTAACAGAAGACATCATAAAAATTTTTAAATGAGAACCTAGTTCTAGTAACATTTGTTAGGAATGGGGAGCGACTACCAAAGAAGGAGGGGAGAGGAGAAACCGTTAAGATTAGAAGAAGGACACTGCATCTTAACTCAAAATCTTAAGGTTCAAGTTTATATGTCATTGTTCTTTATTTTATATTATTTATTAAATTCAACTTTATCAGATTTGGGCCTTTCCTTATAAGCTTAAGTCTATTCATACTCGGACAATTTAACAGCATATAATGAGCATTTATATAATGGGTATGATTTACAAGCTAGTGAGAATATTTGTTTACTTGTCTAAAAAACATTAGTAATATCTCAATGGTACATCATAAGCATTTTGGGTTAAGAATCATCTTTATTCTTGAAGTACTTGCTTAGAATTTGTAGATATCTTGAACTCAATTTTGAATCATTTTTTTCCTCAAACATTTTTATCCTATCATTAACATACTCATTAATCGAATTCTTCTTTTGAACAAAAAATGTACACATGGCATCCAACAAGTTTAAGGTTGATTTTGCTCTTGAAGAATTCATTTAGTGACATTTGGTATTCTAAACTCGATTTTGGGTCATTTCCACCCTTAAATATTAAAAAACCTAACCATGTATGTCTTACCATTAACATGCCACATATAAGTTAGTCGGTTCCACGCGTGTATACATGTGGCATCCAAGTAGATGCCCAATCAAAAGTTAAAAAAACTCTTTGATCACAATTAGAAATTAAATTTAAACAATTTCTCTTTGTGCACACTTGGCAACCTGACTTGGATTTTTTTAAAAAAAAAAAAAATTCTCCACTTATACACTTTAGGAGCTCTTGCCCTCAATCTCGACACCTAAGGCTTACGATCGTTGCGGGAGAGGTTAAGTACATGTCTACATTTGAGTTAGCTTTTGGGATTAAAGTGATGTAAAAAAGGCAAGATGTAGAGATTGAGAGATTTTTTTTTTTTTTTCATTCAAGCTATCAAGTGTTTGTGTGGAAGAGTTTTTTAATTTAATTTTTTACTATGATTGAGAGAGGAATTTTTTTTTAAAATTTCTAATTGAACATTCACTTAGATGCCACATGTACACGTGAGTGGGACCTAGTGACTTAAATTAATGTATGCTTGTGGTGTGTTAATGGTGGGACACTCGTGGTCATGTTTTTTAACGTTTAAGGAATGAAATAACTCAAAATTGAGTTCAAGACACCAAATGCACATAAGCGAATACTTCTAGTGCACGAGTGACCTTATTCATTTATGATTGGGCATCCAAGTGGATGCCATGCATAAATTTTTTGTCAAAAATATTTGATTAATGGGCATGAGAACAGTATGGTAGAAATGGATGTATTTTTAAATGTTTGGGGGGTGTTTTGACCCAAAATTGAGTTTAAAATATTAGCAGATTCTAAGCAAATATTTCAAGAACAAAATTGACTTTCAACCCTAAGCTTTTTGATATCATCAACTAAGCTAAAAACTTAATGATTTATGTCTTTGATGCATGAAATGTCATCAAAAGCCTCCACAAAATCTGTATGAACATCCTTGTCCTACCAAACTCTTTAGGCCAATGAAATTTCTTTTATTATTACATATAGGTATTTTTTATTGGTACGTTACATTGTAAGAGATCAAGTCCATTTGTTATATCCAATTCCCATCGATTGCCCATGAAAGATTTAATATTCTCAAATATTCATAAACTATATAATGTCACCAATAAAAGTTAATCTAATTGATAAAAACTTAACTTATAACCCAAAATGTTATAGGATCAAATTTCTTTGTCGATGTAAAAACTTTGATGGTAAACAATTTATAAGCATTTTTATAAACACCTTTTGAATCTGAAGACATGCTTTAACAACGATAAGTTTTCAAAATCTAAATTTTTTTATACAAAAAAATACTACATACTGCCACAAATGGGTTCCGGTAGGGCAAGTGCCTGTTGATGGGATGTTATTTTTCTTGTCTAACCTGTTAATAGTTTTATTTTTAATTTAATCTTTTATTCCACTCAGTACACCAATCAAGTTGACGGTTGGACATGGATATCGTAAGATTGTTGAGAGTTCGGATATGAAAAATATCTCAAACGTTTTATTTAAGATATTTTAAAATGTAATTTTTGCAAAAATTAAATAACAAAGACATGATTGATCATGATAATTACTTTTAATTCTTAAATGCTGAGGCTTTTTGGCAGTTGGCGTTATTATGAAAGTAACCGTTGTGAAATATATAGAAAATTACTTATACACTTTTTTTAATATAAAACCATGATAAAAATATCATACAAAAAGATTAAAATCATGTCATGTCGAAAGTCAAAATGTTACAAACTTGTTCCCATATCTTTAACGAAAGTTGCAATTTCTATTGAAAAATAATAAAACATATTTAGCATCATTTTAAATCAACATATCATCAATATCATATATATATGTAATCTACACAATCGTATTTTTCACAATTCATGAAGCTACTTACATATTAACATCCCTTGCAAAGCACAAACCCCATAATGTGACATAAATAGCAGCACCAGCAGCAGGAAAATGACATAAAAATAAGACCAGACCCCTATAGCCTTGCAATACACACCGTTACAACACGTGGCATGCCAGAAAAAATAACAGAATTGCAAATTTCTAACAATATTTACAACAACGCGCACACAAAATATTGACACAATAAAGACCTACTTATGTCGACTTGCACACAATATATTGACACAATAAAGACCTACTTATGTCGACTTGTCTCAACTTCACGACAGAGCAAAAGAACAAATTTTGCCGAGTAAATCATGTGAACTTCCATATCATAATAATAACATGAAAGCCAACTGCACATATTCACGCACATCCCATCAACCAGCCACCAATCAGTTTTATGTACAATCTTGGCTTGTCTACTTTCCATATTTGTCATATCAATACATCAAATACTTAGGATACCTTCTTAACTAACCAAATGACCAAACCTGGCCAAACAAATTATGTACATTATTATAATGTCATGCTACCACAAAGTAAAAGTTATTTACAACTCCAGGAGGAGAACATATGTACAAAAGTAGTAGAATAGAGTAGAATACCTCACTAGCTATTCTGGCCGAAAGTTAACCAGATTAGGGAGGTCTGATTTAAGTTTCCTAATGTCATTCGCTGTCACCTTGCAGGACTCCAATGTCAGAGATCTCAAACTTTTTAGCGTTTTCAGATGCTGCAGACCCGCATTGGTCACATGAGAATTGGATACGTTCAAAGAGATCAGCTTAGTGAGGCCTGAAATATAACACATATATAATTATAACCGAATTCAAGGTTTGATAACTCTGCCCAAGGCTTCAGAATAATAGAATGCAAGCCAACTAGTTTTCATTTTTAAACGCTAGTAAAGGTGAATATGAGAGGATGAATAACATGCAGATGTTTTTCACAAGTGTCTAGAGCCTACTTTTTGCTTTTGAAAAGACAAAAAAGGACTTTTTTTTTTTTTTGGAGTTATACTCCTGACCTGACAACTTCCTTTTTCCATTCGTTGTTTTATTTCAATTTCACAATACCAAAGAAAAATACCATAAAATCAACCCGTTTCTCAAACAAAGCAGAGGTCTGAGGATATACCAGAAATTAACTGCAGGGATGTGTCCGTAAGGCTACAGTTCTGTGATAAATTCAAGCACATCAGAGATGAAAGCTCTTTGATATTTTTGACACCATCATCAGTCAATCCTCCACCACATATTTCCAGCGACCTCAGGTTCTTAAAGTCTGTTTCACCAGGAAATAAAAAATGTTGGCAAAACAGTGAACAAAAATCAGAAATGATATGAGATCAGTCAAAGAAGTAACACTCCCATCACACGTAAATTTAGTTTTTGATTGACTTGATTCTGAAAAACACCGCTGCTCCACTGGTGAAATTGTGTAAAAAAATTTGAAGCTTGTTCCATGATTACAGCCCACACAAAAAGTCCACAAAATTTAATGATACAAGTACCAGAAGTGCAACATCTTTACTTAAAATTAAAGACTATCGAACCTTCACTTGGAAAGTTGAAGGTAAAGAGGATGTACTAGGTACTATAGCTGCTGAATCAAGACTTAGACCAAACTTGCAAGCACACAACAGTTGAATTTTCCAAAAACTATGCCTAATAACTTGATACATGCATTTCTGTGATTCTCTTGCAGACTAAATCAAGTTCAAGTTAGGAACTGAGCTGTTCTTCATTAAGATTAAGAAACAAACTTGGAATGTAATTAATTCTCTTAAAAAAAAAAAACTGGGCAGGAAAAGGAAGAAATTAAAAGAAAAAACCACATTGGAGTGAACTTCAGCATCCAATCATGTCATGTTTAACTGAAATATCTTGGAATAATTTTAGGAAACTAAACATTAGTTTCACATCACATACTTCTTAAGTAGTTCGTTCCAGAATCTGTGATTCGTGCACCAAACAAATCCAGCTCAATAAGCCCAGTCAAACCTGCATCAGTAAATTCAAATTATGCATTCAGCCAAATATGCTTTCATCTTGAAAAAGCAAAGGAGCCAGAATGCTACAAGTCATGCAAAAATTTCATCCATTCCAGATTTAGGGAAAAAAAAAAAACAACAAAGCTGTAGGGGTAAAATTTCAAACCTCTTTTTTTTTTCCCAATTAAAGAAAGGATTTAGTACCAAACCTATGAGAGTGAACCGGATTTAAAACCTGTGTCCTATAAAAAAAGAAAAAAAGAAAAATCATTCTTCAAATTGTAACTTTATGCATAGGGTGGATGCATACTTGTAAGGGCTGCTAGTCCAGCATCAGTTATTTGGCGAGCATCCAAATTAAGTGACTTCAGAGATGAGAGTCCAGACAATTTCCTTAAACCGCCATCACTTATCATAGTGAAAGACAGGTTTACCTTCTCCAGACTAGACAATCCTATAAGAAGTCAAATACCAAAAATATCAGCATGGGAAGACTCTTGACGGGAAAGATGGTGAGACAAGTTCAAATTACAATCATAATTGCATATCTTGGAAACATCCAACGTCTACACCCAAAGAATTTCTCATGGTCAGTGTCTCATTGACAAGCTTGGTTCCATACTCATCAGTCAACTACTTCAAGAAGTGTTATGGCAGAAAAAAAGGCAATTTCTAAGTAAAGCCATGAATGAAAAAGGAATACATGTCAGTAACCTTTTACTACATGTCAACAAAATTCAAAACACGCACACATGCTCAATCACTCACTGTCAAGGAAACAAGGAACTATACGCTCAAGCAATTTAAGTATCCTTGGAAATCCAGAACAGATCAGACATGAATAGTGACCATATAAAATTGTAGCATTCAAGATATATCAAAATGACATCAATAACCAAATCCAGAATTCAATTCACATTAAAAGCCGAAGAATAAGTTAATCTGAAAGTAAACAAGCAATCTAAAATTTTTCAAAGAACATTTCATTGTCTCAAGTTTAAGATGTGAAGTGAAGGCCTATGAAAGGTTTCATTATAAACTCTACCAGGTTTCCTCGTACCAACGTCCCTTGGCCATGAAAAATTAACATAACACAGACTTGCCAAACCTTAAGCTGACATCTCATATCGTTTTAATCAATAGAATTGGAAATGGAAAGAACTTACTAACAACCACATGGTTATAAGGCTTTGATACCATGTCCAAAATATTGCAAACCAAAAAGCTTTAGCTCTTGACTGAAGGGCCCTTGGATAGTTTCATTACTATTGCTAACAAATTGAACCCACCAATGTTTTCAGGACAGTGATATTCAAAATAAAGGATGAATTACATGACCATTCCAATTTTTAGTTAACTTATTACTCATTAACCGAAAGCAGAACTTATTGGACAAAACAAGTTATTTATTAATGATTGGATATGTGAATTTCTTTTAGGAGCTTCCACTATTGCGCGGAAGCCTGATTTTGGAAAGAACAAATAGCAGCAAGCAAGGCAATTAATACACGCTTAGTATTTAAATAAATCAAAAGCATAAGGAGATTGTCTTACCTGATATATGGTGGAGCCCACTGTTACCAACTTCTGTATCAGACAATTCCAAGCATTTCAACTGCCGAAGGCCTAAAATGAAAGACAAGCAAATAAAAATCTCACTTTACCTTAAGGAAGGAATGTGTAAATTGTCAACGATAAATCATATGAAATAATTATTCTTCAATTGAATAATTTGCAGCCAATAATTTAAAGAACATGAAGCTATATTGCATATTGTGGGTATCTTTCAGCATATTCTTTTTCCAAAATGTTTTGAAAAATACTATCATCCAGGACGTCATCACAAAAAGATCAGGAAATTGAATACAAATAACCATTTACCCGCCAGATTGATCAGCCCTTCATCACCAATCCTACATGAATCTAGGTTCAAGCTCTCTAATTTTGTCAATCCTGCTTAAAGAAATATATCAACATGTTAGATAGAACTATCCTTGTCTAAGCATTCTGCTTCTTTCATTCTGCCCGGCAATACATCATAACTTTACTCTGTTAAATATGTTAACTGAAGGAAATTAACCTTTGGCACAACCATGATTCCAGTTTTGAGTTTCAAGATTATAATCTTGCACTTAACTCATGCCCATTCAATTTCAGTTGAATAATGTTAAGGAAAATTTCAACTGAAAATGAATGTGCATGAGATAAGTGCAAGATTTTAATCTTAAAACTCAAAAATGGAATCATGGTTGTGCCTAAGGTTAATTTCTTTTTTATACATGTAGATAAAAAAAAAAAAAACACAATCATTGATCCCTATAGTTTTATTGGATTTTCTTTAGTCCCTGTAGTTATTCAGTGTTTTCAGTATAAGGATTGAAAACATTGAAATTATAACGACCTGAGTAACAGACATCACCCAATTTTGCTGAAACTATAGGGATTAAAAAGACTGAAAAAACTACATAGACTAAAAGAAAAATCCAATGAAACTATAGGGATTGACAATTGCTAAAAAAAAAATAAAATAAAACTACATAAAGTTACAGTCATGTGGGGAAAAAAAATCCCTCCTTCAACAGCATCCAGGCAACCTGGTGGGGGTTCTAAAATAATGCATGTATTATAAGCAGAAACATAGGCCTCCTTAGTGAACAATCCAGCCCCACAATTAGCTTGCTGATCAATATGGCCAATTGGCACCTCCCAATCATGATCAGTAATGCATTGATATCGTTGATCATCATCTGAGTATGGGGGGTACAGGTGAGACTCTCTGATAAACAGGTTTATAGCTTCAAGAGCATCACTGTTAAGAGAGACAGGTTTGTGTTCTTTTCCAGCAAAGGAAGAGGCGAGGTTAATATTTTATATATTGCTAGAGGCACATTTTTCATAAAGTTATGATAACAATCTCACATATTGCAACCATGGCAAGGCTAAATATTGCTCCAACCTGCCTGATGGGATGTAAACCTCCATAACTAGATGGTAAACAGTGCAATCTTCTACAGATTGGTTTGTAAATGGTTTGTTTCCATACTGTAGTCTTGACTCTTGAATAAGTTGCATCCAACATACATCCAGGGAAAAGGGGATGGGAAGGGAGAGAGGGAGGCAGGCAGAGAGCATAGGACAAATATTTAAAATCACCTTTTAAGTATGCTAAACAAGCATCCGTTATCTCATTGTTGGATCCCAAGTTTAGCACTTTCAAATTTTGCAGTCCTGTCAGTTTTTTTTTTTTTAAAAAAGCAAAGGTACATATTCAGTGCTTAAAGAATTCTAATGAAGCCAAAATCTGATAATTAATAAGCATATTCAAATATGCATAAGTACAACCTGAAAGAAGTAAACAAGTCTTGACAACTTACTTGAAAATTTTTCACATCCATCATCTGAAAGATTACATCTATTGAGATTCAAGTTTGACAGGGCAGGAAGCTCTGGAAGGACATAACAGCAAAATCAAAACTTAGATGGGCAGCAATTTATCATACTTCAAAGAAGCAATCAATTAAAACTTCTGACATCCCACGAAGAAAGTTCACTAAAGAGCATATGATAATAGCACGATCTCAAGGCTACTAAAAAAAGCCAAGGCCAAACAGTTTACTGATAATATAGGAAACAAAATTAAGGTTCCCTTCATATGCGTTAGAGTGCTATAGTTTGAATTTTGAAACCTATTTAGGACCTTGCCCCTTCTGAGCCTCCAGAAACCTTTTTTTTTTTTTTTTTTTAAGAATCTTCTGATAGTACCCTTAAATAATGTCCTCTGACTTCACCCCACCCACCCCCATTTTTTCTCAAATCACTTTGCTGAAAGTTATAGCATCCCAAGAAGCTCCAGTGGCTCAGCTTCAGGCTCAAAGCATACATAGATTATTGACCAAGATTATAGCTCTACAGACTATTTAGAGAAAGAAAATATCATAACATTGGTAACTTCAGCATAATAACCTATGAAATGCAACCTGCTAGAGAATCCAAGCATGCAGCTGTAACAAGGCATCCTTCCAAATTTAACTGAACAAGCTTTTGTAATCCTGAAACGAACCAAGACATTATTCAAATTTGAAGAGATACAGAAATGACAATACTAAGTTTAACCTATCAATTTCAAACTTTACTTTCCTAAGGAAAAAATATCATAAACAACAATTGTAACTATATATCCTTAAACAACAATTGTAACAACAATTGTAACACGGACATAAACCATTTCCAAACTCAAAAGTCTAAGACAAAATACCTGGCACATGATAACTATATATCCTTAAAACTCTGAACATCAAAATGGCACAATGTCAAGCAAAATACCTTTCAAGAAAGTGACGCCAAAATCTGTCACTTTACTGCATGAAATCTCTAGACTCTTCAAGTTTGTCATCTCTGGAAGAAAATTATACCGGACTGTTAGTTATTGGGTTGTGTGTTTTTTTCAATGTCAGTAACACTAATAGGTCAGACCTTTGACACATAATGGATCTTGAAGTACTATTTCGAAATCCCATGACCAAATCCACCCACAATTATACTTCTATAAACACAATTGCCTGTTCACAATCATACTATTGTCAAACACAGTATCTATGTGTTGATCAGTTGCCTTTATTCTCTTCCAGCTCCAGCCTCTAGGGAAGAAAAAATTTCAAAAGCAGTATTGCATTACACATAGCAAAATGTTTATGCCACTAAACAATTGACTAACATAGGAATCCTTCACAAGACCAACACATGTCATAACGCAATGTGTTCATGAAACTTTTCCTGAAAAAAAAAAAACAAAAGAAAAGAAAGAAAGAAACCTAATTCATCTCCCGCTGGAATCTCTCTTGAACTAAAAAATTTACATTATTATTTAACCAAAAATGCATCTCATTTCAATCAAGTGAAAAACAAAATCGTGCAATAAAATAGATGAATTTATTTTTAGGTAATATTATGTCTCAAAAGATCTACTGCAGTGGAAAATAAATACTTCGACTCAGCATTGTAATAGGACGGAAGAAAGTTGTGAACTTGCAATTAACCTGATAAAGGCTTCATGTCAGCATCTGTTATGCAGTTACACCACTTCATATTTAGAGATTCCAGCTTGGTTAAACCTGAAATATGAACCGTATCATTAAATTAAAATAGATCAATTTCTTTAATGTGGTACAATAAATGGGATTAATGAAGTGCACTAGAACTAGAACAGTGGATGCTTGTTTTTGCACTACGTGAAGCAAGAACCAACCTTGAAGATGAACAAGGCCTCCATGAATCCCAGGACATTTCTCCAAATCCAACTTAACCAAGTTAACAAGACCAGAAAATGAACTTACTCCTTCCGCAGAAATGGCATTGTTTCTTCTAAAACTCAAACTTGTCAAGTTTGACAGACCTATAAGATTCAATTACAATCACGGTAAACATTCAGGAAATCAGCAATTAATGCACAAAGTTTTTTGCCACAAACAACTATACATAAATATTGGCATTACATGGGAACCTAGGAAGCACAAATACTTTAAAAAAGTAAACGTATCTGTATCTGATATGTATCAGATATGATACTTATAGGATACTTCATTATACGTATCTCATATTCTAACATTTGTAAAGTGATTTTTTCCAACAATTTTTTACTATATCACATAAAAACTTAAAAAAACACCTAATATTTCTGTTGATTGTTATCAACATCCTCAAATTACTTTAGAAATTCTTGTTTAAAAATCAAAATACCTATACCTATATCATAAAATGTTGAAATATATATTATAAATATCACCGTATCCATATCCTAAAATTTTGAAAATTTGCCATATCGTTGTATCATGCTATATCATATCAGATACTCATACTTGTATCTATGCAACCTAGATGCGAACACAAGAAGTTGGAAAATGTTATGCATGAAAAATTTTTGGTCTTTAGCTCTATATAGGAAGGTAGAGAAAGGCCAAGAAGGACACTCAAGGAATTTATTGAATAGGATTTATTGAAAAACAATATATCGAAAGAATTGGTTGTTGATAGAACACAATGTTGCAGTGTCATTCATATAACTAACCTCACTTAATGGAATAAGACTTCTTGTTGTTATGAATAAAAAAAATGTCTAAGGCTAATGGTAGAGAGATAAAAAGATGTTATGACATCACCAATATGACATTTTACAAGTGATATGCATATAAATTTCAATTCATCAAATCTCAAACAAGCAAATTTCATTATGTCAGAGAGGACATTTTAAATTATTTAAAAAGTTCTGATAATTGAAAGTACATTTAAAAAACATTGTGTGGCAGCTATTTCAATTAGAGTAAGAGGTATTTTCATAAATTGGCAGAAGTAAGGAGCAGATGCAGTGCTATGTCATTTACGTGAGATCTTTTTCTCTTTTCTTCTGATAAATTAAATATGAAGGATCCAAAGGGACCAATGCTTTAGTGACAAATAATGGATATAAATGCCTAAGGGAAAGCAGAAAGGGAAAGACTACCATTGATATACTCCAGACCATGGTCTGAAATCTGGTCACAGTGATTAAGATTCAAGGTTAAAAGATTTGTGCAATCTTTGAGATAAGCCAGCCCATAATCAGTGACATCAGACCCAGAAAGATCCAAAGATAGTAAAGATGACCCTTGCGATGAGATAATTTGCATCCAACTGTCATTCACACCAGGATATTCTCCCAAGTAGAAATCCTATTGAATGCAGAATAACACATCTGACCGCTTAGATCAGGAACATATGATTGACTTGAGTTGAAAATTTAGCAAAGAAATTATTCCAATAGGCTATGCAATTTAAAATGATTTACCTGGAGAGAACAATCTTGAAAAGCCTTGAAAGAAGCACTACTCAGACGTTGGGAATACACCAATTCATTAAGAATTTGTTGACTTAGGTCCCGTGGGATCGAAGAAAATGTGCTATGCTTGTGAATCTCCTGTTGAAGAAAGATTTTCTGATCAATTCTTCAGAAAAAGAAATAAAAAAGGATTGAGAATGATATTTTGTTTAAACAGCACCTCGCATATTTTCCGGACACATAAGTCCAACAATGATGGACATTCCCCTTTCTGTGAATGATAATCCATAGACGGATGAGAAAATGATAAATTCAACCGTTTCAAACTCCCACTTTTATCTTCACTGTCTCGATTTTGCTTCCTAGAACAAGCTCCCCCCATTGAGGAAATATCTTGCAATCAATATATGTCATAAAAATTGCAGGAGAACACTACTGTAACCCACTCAATAACCAAAAATGAATATACGCACTCTACTTCACCCTGTAAAAATACAAAAAGGGAAGAGTGCAGCTGAATAAGTTTTCAGCAGACTTGATCATCAGGAATTGACATCTTTAAATTAACTCTCAACAATATTAAAATACACTTATATTTGCAGCATCAACGCCATTTACTAGACCCCAAAAGATAAAACTGCAGAACGCCGGAAGCAGTTTAAGAATACGAGCACCAGTGCAGAAAATCAGCATTTAACATCTCAGTCTTAAGCAAGCTTTCCAAAGCATATGCATAGTAAAATAGAATTAACAGTTCAAGTTACACGCCAGATAAAAAGCAGACTAGTGGAGGACGCATAGTGTTCATGAGAGCACTCAAAGATGCGCATCTTCAAAGCAAACAACTATATATAATGTTTACATCAACACTATCCTTCCAAACTTTTAAGCATATTCGTGGACAAATTTCAACGTCTAGAATCCTGTAAAATCCTGCAAATATTTTTTTCTTATAAATACCAACTAATTACCAACACCAACCCTAGTAAAATTTCTAATTCTGATTTTTGACGTAAGTGTCAACTTTAACCACCAGAAGCCAAGCGTCTTTCGCCCGAACATGTAACCCATATATGACTTTTCTTCGAAACCTGCATAAAACCAATATATTTCCTACATGGTTCTGTACATAGCTTCAAGCACCAAATTTCTACCAAAGTCAGAATACCATCGCCGAAATTTACAGTTAAATAGGCAGCGCCAATTGTCATAATCAAACGACGTCGAAATAAACTAGAACTAAAGCCATGATCGAACTGCAAGACTCCAAACTCCACTGATATTCTTCGAACAACAGCCACCAATATACACAGTAAATTAACAAACAAAAGACAATATTCAAAACTCTGGTATTTACAAGCCATCAGATACTCACATAAGGACGAATAACGCGAGAAAAACAGAGTGATCATCAGAAAAGCGAGAGAAAATCTCAGCTAAACAGATCATAATGAAAGAAAGGGAACAAAAAATATCTGAGAAAGTAACAGTACCCTGACATGATGAAAATTTGCCGTGAATTTGATATGAACGAATGATTCCCCTTGGGGCAGAAACGATCACGGAGGAAGCTGTGAGAGATGACAAAACATAACGGTGGAACAGGACGGTGATAGTACGAGAAAATACTGGTGGGTGGGTTCAATAAAGTGCAACATGGCCGTCACTGAGCCGAAATCTGACCCAACAGATGGGTGACACGTGGCGATGGAAGGCTTGGGATTCGGTGCGCACGAGACTAAGGTAAGAAGGAAAAGAATCGAAGAGAAGAGTGAGGATTCGCATGAAGCAATTATGAGGTTCTTGACTTTATCCACTTGGAGGTGGTGTGGGTCCCATGGCCATGGGATGCCTTTAGAAGATTTTTCACGCAAAGGCTTTTTTTCTCAAGAGAATTTGGAGAACATACAATTCTTGCTCTTTTGGTTTTAGCATGTTTTGGATTAGTCCTTATATTTTTCGTTGTTTCAATTTTTTTAAAATTTCATTCATCTTTATCATTACATATGGAGTTAATTTTATTAATTTATATATAACCCTGCTAATTTTATTTCTGATTTAGTTAAATTATGATAAATTAGACATTGTATAAACAAAATACATACTAACTTTTTTGTATGTTTGTTCCAGTTGTTGTGTTTTTTTTTTTTTTACCTAATGCTTTACCTACTTTGTGTTTGAGTATTTTGATTTAATGTCTTTTTTTTGTGTGTGTTACTTATTTTTTATACAACATAACATGATTTTAACAAATTAAAAAAAAAGTAAAATTTATATAAACAGTAATCACTATTAAGTCTTTAATGATCATATTTAAAAATATAGATACTAACATTGTAAAAAACTTAAACTTAAGAAGCTCAAAGTAACAAAAAAAGTGGAAAGACTAATATCAAAACATATTAAAAATATGTTTGGCTCAAAGATGAAAAAGGGAAGGAAGAGATTTCTATAGAGGAGAAAAGGGAAAAAAGTTAATGATCGCTTATTTAGTTGATCTGGAGGGAAGGGAAAGATGCTGGAGTGGAAAACTAATAATAAACAAATGATTTCCATCATTGTTAAAAAAAGTTATTAATAAAAAATAATTGTATTATAATTTATTAATTTTACATTTTAAGAATGTGAATATTTTCAACTTACACTGATAATAGTTTTTGAAGAGTCGGTGCATCAATATTCTAATTTATTAATGTGCCTAATGAAAAAGCATTAAAATTATGTGCATTAAAAAATTGTATATTAAATTTTATTATATGATAAAATTTATTTTATTATAGGAGAATTCACCTCCAATTTTTGAATCAAACAAGAATTTTCCTTTCCTCTATTAAATATTAACTAAAAAAGAGGACAGGAGCAACTTCCTTTTCCTTCCTTCTAAAAACTTCTAACCAAATAGATTCTAACAATATAAGGATTATTAGTTATATTTTCTCAAGAATTCGAGGAGGGGGAAGAGAAATTGATTTTAGGGTCCATTTACCTACATTATGCATACATTATGATAATCTAATGGTGAATGTTAGAGGCTTATTGTGAAGATAGTTTTTTTTTTAATTTTTCCTGAATATTTTTTCTGTTGTTTATCTAAACTAATTTTAGATTGAGCTTCTATCTTTTAAATTAAGATAAGTACTTTTTGTTTCTATTTGAGCTTTTAATATCTAAGAGTCATAATATTTTCAAGTTACATGCTTGATCTACATTGAATTGATCAAAAACTGAAGAGCACTTAGTTTAATTGGTTAAAGAAGTTGAATTAGTTTATTTTAATGTTTCAAGTTTGAATTTTAATATGTGCGATTGTGTAAAATAAATATATGAAAAGCATTCTCAAGATACCCCTATCCCATATAATGAGGGTTCAGATTAATTTGGATGAGAGGTGGTCATATTTTTAGGTTTTTTAAAGTACCAAACATTTGGAATAAAAAAAACAGAAAAAACTCAAAAAAAAATAAATACACATTTATGTCGCTAAAAAGTAAAAATGGCCCAAAGTGCTTTTTAGCTCCTTTATATTGGTTTAAGGACTATTATTCACATTTTAGTTAAAAGCGTTCCTTTCAATCAATTTCATTATTAACATTAATGAATTAGATCACGGCTTTTTCTTTATAAAGTTTGAAAAGTGAGTCATATTAATTCATAATTTAAAATAGTATAGGTTTTTATATTTTTTTTAAAAAAAATCCAATGAGTTATATTCCCCATAAAGTTTGGCCAAAAAAAAAAATATCCATAAGGCATAATGATAAAACTTAACTTAAATTTTGTACAAATAAATTAAACCCACTTTCAGGTCAACAAAGAAAAACTCACGTGTATTCTACCCTTAGAACTAATTGGATGGCTATTTAAATGTTTTATTAAACTTTAATTGACATATTTAGCTATAACTTTCTAGATAAATATGATCTAATGTATAATAGAAAATTTTTTATGAGCACACTGTTCATGATTTATGAATAACCTCCGTAATTATAAATTATACAACTTACTCTTTCTTTTTTATGAATACAACATTCCGTAAATTTTATAAATCACACAAGGCCACATCTAGTTTGACACACATATATTGATGATATTTTCATATTTTTTAAAGCAGCCTTATATATTTAATATTAATTAATTTTTAATGTGTTAATAATATTAGTAAAAATAATTTATTATAAAATAAATAATATATAAATAATACATCTATATTGATTTAATTGGAAACAAGCAATTTAAATATATAAGGTTAAGTATATATAAGTTTTCCCCTTTTCTAATATATTAAAATTCTTAAATTTATTTTTATTGGTAAAAATAGAATTTTGATTTTATCCTTATTCTAATAATTACAATAATTAAATTTAAACAATTTTCAGGAATCCTAATTCCTGCCTAATCTTTATTTAACTCGCATGGAATGTCTTGTACACGGCATGAGAAAGAAGTCGTAGTGCTGATGATTATTGATACCGATGAAGAGTTTATTTTTTTTTAATTAATATTATTTAAATATTATGAATCAATTTGTTGTTTATGAAGTCATCAACAATAATTTCATCAGTAAAATTATTAAAATGTCTCTATCCACAGTGAATTTGAAGGTCCTTACACGCTATATGTTCTTTGTTACCCATGAATGAATTGACAACAGTCCGATTGAACCTTTCATAATAAATAATAAATAATAATCATTAATCACATCAACAATTATAAAATGCTGAGACACTTGCGCAAGTAACATTTCTTTTTAAGTTGCCCAATTAATTGTTTTAAAAATCTTGTTATTTTCTTATCTTGAAAAACTTGAAGAACTTAGGGTGTTATACCACCACTCATTTAGATTAATTTAGACTCGTGTTATATGAAATCAATTTTACTAATAACAACGTCACAAATATTTCAGGTTGGGACGTCTTTAATATTTTTTATTTAATATGTCTGTATATTTTAGAATTTAAATTTAAAATTTCAAAATAAATTGATTCGACCATCCTTCACAATTAAAACCCTTAAGTAACATCTAACGAGACACTTGGGCACATATATGTTGACTTAGCTTATTGAGAAAGGCTGCATTAGTGAAGACAAAACCAACCTCTATATATGGTGAAATATATAAAAAACTAAGTTTTTATAAGATTTAATTAAATTATATTGATATTGTTTCTCAACTCATCTTATTTATTTAGTTGACGAAATGGTAATTTTATTGACAATTTTTGCAATGTGAATGATTCAGATGTCGAATTTTTAACTTCTTAATTCAAATAATATTTTATAAAATTTAAAGTTAATTTTTTTATTTTATGTTATATTCTTTCCAAATTAAAAAAAGAGTTAATTAAGTTCTTAGAGCTCAATAATCAGCAGCATATCAAATAGGAAAGGTAATTATGAATCAATCAATTTCTAAATAATATCCCTAACGAAGATCTCCAAGTAAACAGAACCCTCATAATAATCGAATGAGTTCTTTTCATATTTCCTTTATAATTATGTTGATTAATTTACACAAATCTCAACTAATCAATAGTACTAAATACCTTATGATTTGTATTAAATGTAAAAAAAAAAAACTATATTACAACGTCAAGTTGAAAAAGATATACTCCTTTTATTTAAAAATATAAACCGAATCTCATCCCCAATAAAGTAGTTACCTATTTTTAGACTAACCCTATCTTTTCATATTTATTTCTATTAAATATCTTATGATAAATATAAAATCATTCATCAATAAGTAAACCTTTAAAAAAAAAGATAATGATTACATCTTAAAAAATTAAAAGTGTTTTACATTTTTTAATATCTAACTTCTCACAAAATGCCTTACATTTTTAAATGAAGGAAGTAACATTTATTATCTCTGTAGAAAGTAAATTGCAAGATTTTCTAACTGTAGAAAGTAAATTGCAAGATTTTCTAACCAACAGGAGCTTCAACATACATTATTCTCGGGTTTGATTGGCCCAAAACCTGTTACAATTAAAAAATTACATTATTTTCAGGTTTGATTTATTTTAAGTACATTTGAATATTAGACCTAATTATAGCTAATTACTTGCATGAATCAATATTAGGCCACATAATCAGTTTTAACTCCTTAGCTTTTTACATGATCAGAAAACATTTAATTGAAATTAGCAATAATTCTTATAAAAAGAAAAGGAATTACCAATAATCATAACAGTTCTTAATTTTGATTCATAATTAATTAAATTAATTAATCAAAGATTTGCAACAAGATGTACAGAACTTGATGAAGTCATGGATTGTGAAGGAGGAATGTTTTGAGTATCCTGCTTCTTTGAGAAGTTGACTCAGTACTTGCTGGAAATTAAACAAACACACATCATAATTTATCAAAAGCTTCTCATGAAAATCATAAATAAATACTCCCTCCATTAAAAAATATAAAGCATTTTTAATTAAATTTCACCTTTAATAAAATAGTTACCTACTTTCAAATTAACCCTATTTTTTCATATTTACTCCTATTAAACATTCTACAATAAATATGAAGTCATTATTAATAAGGATACTTTTAAAAAAAATAATAATTACACCTTAAAAGATTAAAAATGCTTTATATTTTTTAACATCTAACTTTTTAAAAAATACTTTCTATTTTTAAATGGAGGAAGTAATAGCTATGAAGAAAACCTAAAAGAAATTAATATGTATTGAGGCATTTTACTTTCTAGTCCTTGAATTTTAGAAACACTATTATTCATTCTTGAATGATTTTTACCTGTCACCGATTAGTCATAGAATGACTTATTTGAGAAGTTTTTTTTTTTAGTTGATTTCCTTTTGGTTGTGTTTCTGTTGTTTGTTTGAGTGTCATTGTTGTTTTTGTTGACTTCTTTGCAGCATTTGTTACTGGTTTATCTTTCTGGTTTCAGGTTTGGTGTGCTGGCATATTTTGTATAGATTTTGGGTGGGTTTTTTTTTTTTTGCTTGGACTGTTTAGTGTGTGTGTTCTCTTTTTTTTTTTTTGTTATTAATAAATTTGACTTTTGCTTTGGTAAAAAAAAAAAAATCATCGTATGATACGTATAGTTGACTTGCTTTAGTGGAACATGTAAAATCATACAGTTGAAATTATGTTGGATAATATTGTTGGATTGCAATTATGTTTGAAAAACTAGCCAAACAAGAGAGATCCATCAAACAACAAATCCAAGGAACAACATGCTCCCTCTTATCATTGTTACAAGTCACTTATAATTAACTCATGAGAATTAAAAAAAGTTAGTCACATCATTTAAATATAAAACTAGATAGACAAGCCGCAAATTTACTTGTGATAAATTATGGGTTGACAGGTGAAGATTAAAAAAACTCATTTTTTGGCAAGTTGGAATTTTCCTAACCCAACCCATCAACTAACCTTTTAAAAAAAATTATTTTTTTAAAAAAATATAATTTGTATATATCTTTTTACCTATGAATTATTTATCTAAATATCAATTTCACAAGTCTAAAGTTATGGGATAAAAAAAGAACACATTAGTTCAAATCTACAATAGCATGAGTTCGAAACCATATCTTATAGGAAGAATGGCACTTAAGTCCCAAAGGACAATTTTATCTCATTGAAGTTTTAACAAATTTCAAAATATATTGATTTTTTCTGACAATTTTAAATTCACAAATATGCAGCCTGCTTTCTGAAATTTACATTTCCTTCTACTTTGTTTTGCAGTTGATTTTCCATTTTAATTTAATAACACAATTTTTTAATAAAAACAAAAAAATAAATATTAAATTTTACAAGATTATTTATTTAACTCTAGAAATTTACAACTTACTCTCTCGGATTTGCAATTTCATCACTATAATTTGCAACTCTATATCCTAATTTTATTTATAAACTTAACCTCATTATTTATTTTTTTCTTGAGAAATTACTTAATCAATCTGAAGAATTTGTAATTTATTCTCTCTAATTTATAATTTCATTTACCATAATTTGGAACCCCAAGATCCAAATTTTATTTAGAAATTCATAAATACTATATCTCATAAACTAAAATTCAGTTAAAAAAAAGAAAAAGAAAAGCAAACTTTCAAAACAGTATTTCAGTTAAAGTATCGATATTTGATCATTACCTCTCTCTGTTCATCAGATATAAATGGAGCTGACAGATCCTTGAGCACTTCAACCATATGTTTAAAAGACACTTTCCCATGGCGATCTGAATCGTACACCTTAAAAATCACTTGAAACAAAAAGCTAGTGTGAGCTGTGATACACTTGGACCAAATTTCAAATGACTTGTAAATAATTAGTTAATGAAGTTAATTAGTCTTGGAAACATATACTCATTCTATTAAAAAATATAAAACTTTTTAATTGAATCATATTTTTAATAAAATAATTAATTATCTTCTACCTAACATTATTTTTTTATATTTACTTCTATTTAATAAAATATTTTATAATATTTTTAATAAAAATATATTAATTATATTTTAAAATATTAAAAATGTCATATATTTTTTAATAGGAGAAGTATAATTATTAATTGCAGAATCTGTTGTATAATATAACTGACACATACATTCTATTTTTTTTGCTGTGGACTAGCTTTGGCACTGAAAGCAGACAAGAAGGCCGCGAAGTCCTTGAAATTCAGACCATCAACCATCTTGAATACCCTCTACAAAATAACCACATCAACTATCAAACACATCACGCAAAATGACATTCTGGCCCTATTTGTAGAGAGACGAAAATAGAAAGAAGAGAATACTAAAACGAGAGTTCCAAAGCAAAGTCAAGTATAAGGATGCCACACGGCTTATGTTGGTTAAATTGACATATTTCAGTAGGGTTTAAAGAAAATTCAATCTTTGTATGTTGCAACTCGGTGAAACTAGGGCAAGATGGCTCTAATTTATACCATGTTTTGAACTTGTCCTGTATTTTCATTTAATAAAAATTTATAAAATTGTTTATAAAAAATATTTGAACTTACTAATTACCATTATGGAGTTTTGTTATCCATATATAGACGTGTATCAATTGATTTGATTAGAGATTCAACTGTGAAATTGTACAAAAGTGCATGTTTGGGATTACATTGGGATAGTTTCAAAACCAAGTTTTTGCCACCCCAACCAAAACATGGCTCCAAACATTCTCAGACTACCAAAGTCCTGAAAATAAGAACGACCATCAAGGTATTGATTTAAGAATCAATGATTAAATCAGTCAATATACTGGTTTAATAATTTATTAATTCAACGGGATAGGTTAACTCCCATTTTCATAGTATGTAAGAAAGTAGATGAAAGAAATGAAATTTGTACCTGAGAAAGTGGACTCGTTGCAAAATCAGGAACAGATAAGAACTCATCAGCTGAAATAAATCCTTTGGCATTACGATCAAGTTGGGAGAACCTTTGGTACAGAGACACTACTTCCTGCTGCGAATTTGATCAATTTCACACTATAATAACTCAGAGAACAGAAACAATGATTGAAGAACAACACTAAAGCCAAACTAAACCAATATAATTAGAACCTACACAAAGTATTGCAGTACTTTTGGACTTCTTCAATGTCATATTGAGTAAGCATTGATGGCGCACTCCCCATTACTTCTCCTCAGCTTCAACTATAAACTAAACAATATTTCACACTAACTGATATTAATTGAGCAGCTTGTATCTGTTAGCCATAGCTTGAGAGTGTAGTGAAAGAATCAAATTAATAAATTTTCTTTCTCCGCCCCATCAGAATTTTCTCGGTAAGGAGACGGAAACGAACCTCAAATTCGTGAGGGCTGTGAGCTTCAACAGTTACAACCAGCGAGCACTGGAGAAATATGTGTTGGAATATTTTATATATATATATATATATAGTGAATTTGTATATATTCAATTAATTATTAAATCGGTACAGATTGACTTTGTTTGATCTTGTATGGACTATATAAGTAAGGCATACAAGCAAGCTCATTTGAACAGTCTGTCAATTTTATCCACATCATAATATTGACCAAGTCAAAGAGCTCATGAGGGAATTAAATAATTAATTATATTTTAAGTAGTTACTTAGTCTTCTGCACGCTCAACATCGTGCTCCCTCTATTTTCTTTCTACTCTTTGTAAAGCTAAAAAGGTCTAATTGGTTGTGAACATGCTTATTCTCAAAATAATTGAGATCTTTACTTGGATTGATATTATCTTTAGAGCAATGGATTTAATGAGTATGCTCAGTAGACTTTTATTTCTTTGATTATTTTGATTAATTATTGAGATATTTTTAGCAGTATACACTAAGGTTGCATTGTCAACATCGACTGGGTCGAAAAGCAGCCATTATTTTGGTTCAATTCATATGAGGTCCCGAAGAACATTTCCATGTTTATCCGCTTGCAGGAATGGCCAGTGATGAGGTGCACAAAGCACAAATTACAAACAAACAAACAAACAAATCCATTGACGAAAATGGACCTTTTTGTAGGAAGAGGACAATAAATGTCAGAACTTTAAGCGCTTGCCAAAGAAGAAAATGACATGTAAGGATGATGAAGCCACAAGGGCTATCTTATATTTTCAATTTTTTTGTATATAAAAAGGATAATAACGAAGAAGATTAAATGGATGAGGATCAAGAGTCATGACGGGATATTTCTCATTTGGGCATCTTGCCCTCTAAATCACTTGTTGGATCAAAGACTCTAATTATCATCATTGTTATGATTTTGTCAAGAACCCACCAAAGGAAAAAAAGAAAAACACCGTTTCTATTTGACTTGTAGTTGATCAAAGCTATTTTAAAAAGGAATGAAGAAAGTGTTTGGCTCTTTACGCCAAATAAGATTAAAAATAAAGAAGCCACATCATCGTTCATGGGAAAGAGGTTGCTTGGCCTTGGTTTTACCCTTGCGTGTTTTGAGATCTTGTAATGGAACAGCCAGTAGTTTAAAACTCGAGTCTTGACTTGTGAACTATTTTAAAATACATATAATTTTAAACTCCTATACTTTATTTGCGTTCATTATTTTATTACACTATTCATTATTTTATTACACTACTTTCATTACTTTCTATATCCACACCAGTTCAAACTCAAAATTTCATATTTAAATTATTATAATTTCTTTTATTAAAAATAATCTATAAATAAACTCACTAATCTTCTTAATTTTATTTAAGCAACCCCAAATTTCCCATTTATGCAAATATTTCCCGCTATTAATTTGTTATTTTACAAATGTAATGTAATATGTTACATTTATCACCATTAACTTTACGTTTTAAATGAGACCAATTCTTAGACTTTGAAATATATGCAGATTATTATTGTTTTCCTTTTTTTTTCGTGGGGGGAACGTACTGATAACTCTATTAAACTTTAATTATTATACCAATAAAATTTCCAACCTTGAATTGTGTCGTTTAAATAAATTAATTAACACCAATCGAAGCCATCAAAGACTCAAATTTAATTTCCAAATAAATAAGATGAACTAATATTTTTATTAGAAACACTTGTTTTGATTTATTATTAAAGAACAACCGTCCTATCTTGGACGCGCTTGATCTAATGAATAAAATGAAATTAATTTAAAAAAAAAAAAAAACCATTTCCCTCTGAGAAATGAGACACAGCAAACCGAATCCTTATAGCACAGTAACTCACGGACGAGACAACTTCACTTGCAAGCTCATACATAATATAGTCTCGCTCTATTGGTTTCACTTGATTGACCTTTTCAGTTTCTTGTTGAGTGTTTCAGAGCCTAGTTTCTTTTCATTCACTTGCTGTTCTTAAATTGAGATTCACAATGATTGATAATTTTACAATTTATTTTCAACGTGTGAATCTCTCATTTCAACCCCATTGACACTGACCAAAACAAATCCTACACATGAAAGCAACAAACACATCCCATGATAGGATAATTGAAATTTCTTGTCAAAAGAGAAGGCAAGAGTTTTTGTAACAAATTTGAAGTTCTCATGATTAAACAGCTGCCTAAGGTTGGGGATGAAGCTATTGGGTACAAAAGAAAATTGCTTTTGAGGAATTGTCAATGGCAAACCCTATTCCCATCTGATGACCGAAAACAAAAAAAGGGATAAACAAAAAAGATACCTCTTGATCCTTCCATGTCCCCATTCCCTTAAAAGATCTTAAAAAGTAAACCACCATGCGTGGCAAAAAATGGAGCAAACACCAGCGACTCCACTGCCATGAGCTTTATCAGGATGTTGAGCGACGGGCCAGAAGTGTCCTTGAGAGGATCTCCGATTGTGTCACCGATCACAGCCGCTTTGTGTGGATCAGATCCCTTTGGCCCCAAGGTCCTCGCATGCTCAGATGCACCAGCCTGAGGAATCTCAATTCATTACTCACAAGAAACAGGAAAATCATGCAAACAAAAAAATTGTGGAAGAATCAGTTCGGTAGAGGTTAAGTAAAAAGCTTGAACTTTTACCTCAATGTACTTCTTAGCGTTGTCCCAAGCACCCCCAGTGTTGGATGCTGATATTGCGATCTATTGGGAAAATTACAATGCAGAATGTTCAGCAAACTTTAGATCGAGAGAAAATTTGTAACCTCAATGTTTCGTGATTGATGAAGATTGTTACCTGAACACCGGACACTAGAGAGCCAGCAAGAACACCTGAGAGAGTTTCAACACCGAAAAATGTGCCAACGATGAGTGGGGTGAGCATGACAAGGGCACCAGGAGGAATCATCTCTTTGATGGATGCATCAGTAGAGATTTTGACACAAGTAGCATAATCAGGCTTGGAATGGCCCTCGATGATGCCGGGAATGGTGTTGAATTGCCTGCGAACCTCCTCAACCATCTTCAAGGCAGCACTTCCCACACTCTTCATGGTCATGGCAGAGAACCAGTAGGGAAGCATGGCACCAACTAGGAGTCCAATGAAGACCTTAGGGGTCAAGACATCTACAGTTGAGATTGCAGCTCGGCTCACAAAGGCACCAAATAGGGCCAAAGACACTAATGCAGCAGATCCAATGGCAAAGCCCTGAAATAAAAAAGAGAAAAAGCTAATGAATTGTATTTAATAGGGTTAATATTGCATGACAATGGCCATAGGAAACACAAACCAATATTACTTTCAAACAAGGCAAGCATGCAGAAGCTCTTGTTTCACAGAGGCAGATACCAGCACAAGGATATCAGATTATAAAAATATCTTCGTAAATATATTCTTCAAGCCATTAAGATGCAGAAAAACCCATCAAGGCTCTCCCCCTGTTGAGCCGTGAGAACTTCTATACCCCACATGTATTCTATGATATGAGAAAAGAGCCATAAGCATACACAATGCACTTCCCTAATCACAATGTAGTTGGACAAGAAAAAAAGAGGCTTCACAGATATGAACGATAAAGCAGCCCAAATAGAATCATAGTACCTTTCCAATGGCAGCAGTTGTGTTGCCAGCAGCATCAAGGGCATCAGTTCTCTCACGGATACGGTGGCTCATGCCCGCCATCTCAGCAATACCGCCAGCATTGTCACTGATGGGCCCATAAGCATCAATAGCCAACCCAGTAGCAATGGTGCTCAGCATCCCAAGGGCAGCCACAGCAATGCCATACATTGCAGCAAAACTAAAACTAACAAAAATGCTGACTGCAATAGCAAAAATAGGAATGATAACAGATTTGTATCCCAGGGCAAGGCCAAAGATAACGTTAGTTGCAGCTCCAGTCCGGCAAGAATCAGCTACATCTTGTACAGGGCTGCAAGAAATTATCTAATGTGATCAAAATCATGACGACAGCAGGAAATATAAGCTTGCATCCAATCTTTGCAAATATTCAGGTACCTGTAAGCATTGCTAGTATAATACTCAGTCACAAATCCAATAATAAGTCCAGCCCAGAGGCCAACCCCAACACATAGGAACAACTGCCTGGTAATTTCAACCATGTTAGAAGGTGAAGTTCGTTATCAACAGCAGATAAAACGAAAACAAAAAATGAACTAGTCTATCAGCATGAAGTAAACATGCTTTAAACAAAATAATGTCTGAAAGACTCTTTCTGAAAAAGAACTTTTTCTTCACCAGCTCTTTACAACTTTTTGAGCTCCGAAGTTGAAAATTGTGAAGGATGATGGCAGAGCTATCCAGGAAACAATTGCAATTCCAATGGTCATAAGAACTGTGGAGATGATAAGTTGCCTCTTCAATGCTGGTTCAATTTCCTTAACAGCCTTGATCTCAAAAAAGTCAGTAGCAAAGAGAGTAGAGAGCAAACAGACAAGAATTCCCATAGAACTAATAAGCAAGGGATATAACATTGCTGTAAGCTCATGGTTGACCCCAAATGAAGATATGGAAGCAACAACCAGAGCAGCACAGGATGATTCTGCATATGATCCAAACAAATCAGAACCCATTCCAGCAATATCTCCAACATTATCACCAACATTGTCAGCAATCACCTGAAGAAACAAAAGAAAAGGCTCACTAATATTAAAGCTCAAAACAAAAGACAGAATTCAATATCAAGTGAGTTTTTCATTCTAAATGAAAACAGATGAAAGGGGGCCAGTATTGCTTACAGCTGGGTTTCTTGGGTCATCCTCTGGAATATTCCGCTCAACTTTTCCGACTAGATCAGCACCAACATCAGCAGCCTTGGTATAGATACCCCCACCAACTCTACCAAACAGAGCCATGGAAGATCCACCCAAACCATAACCAGTAATAGCCTCAAAAAGGCCTTCCCAATCATCACCATAATATAGCTTGAAAAGATTGATAGCTATGTAGAGCACCAAAAGACCA